ACGACGACGACGACGACGACGACGACGACGACGACGACGACGACGACACCACCGGGCCCCGCGCGCGCCGCCCCAGCCCCTCACTAACCACGCGGCAGCGGAGCCCCCTTCCGCCCCCGAGAGCCTGCCCGGAAACGGCCGCCCACGTGAGCGGCGGCGGACAGCACGCGCGGCAACAGACAGCGCGCACTTCCTCTCAGGGGCGCCCCCTGCCGCCACGGAGGTCCACCCAACTCGCTTCTTCAAGCGAAAACGATTCATTTTTGGGTTATTGCTTTGTTGTGTGTGGTTCTTTGTAGTGTTAGCTTTCTTGCTAACACTAAGATCGGAAGCACTTGTGGGTTTTTTTGTTTTTGTTTTTTTCGAAATAAGCATTTTATAGCGCTTTTTTTTTTTTTTTTTTTTTAACAAGGGTTCATCTTCAGGAGTACACTTGCAAGTTTTTGCTTACACCAGCCCCATAAAGTTCTCAAAGACATTTTCAACTTTGCAGCGACACATAATTTCAAGCAGGAAATAGACTTATTTTGCAGTCAGCTGCAGGAATGGTCTTCAAGCAGTCTGCAGGTCCCTCTCTGCCTTCTTCTCTGACCACAGTAGTCAATCCCACCTCAATGCAACTCAATCAGGTCACTGAAGTAATTACATTACACTGTCCCAATTTGATCCTACATCAGCTACAAGTAAAACAGCACTGAAAGCATTCAGCACGCAAAGTCTCACTTAATTTAATTACCAGAATCTGAGCTCTCTTGGCTCAGACTTCAAATTTGTACTACATACTAGGATTGCTTTCACACTCTTTCTAAGCTCAGCAACTTTAGGTTTTGAGTTGTATCTCATTCTGGCTTCCATCCTTCACTGTTTACCATTTTGGGAAGCAAAGTCTTCACACAATAATGGGGAGATGCTGGGTTATGAGTGTCTCTCTTAGCTCCTGCCACTATGTGCTCTGAATCTTTATAGGAAGTGCTAGAGGTCATTTAAAACTTGTTCTATTATGTTTCATTCTACCTGCAGTGACAGAAGGTAGGTGTTAACAAGTACACTAAAAGGAATATTTTCAATGAAACATTAACAATATTGTGCTCCATGAGAATATTTTTAATTATGTTTCTAAAATGAACTTAGGTAGTAACATTTCCTCTCACAAAAAAACAAAAAACAAGCAAAAAATAACCCCAGTATTTGCATTTACAAAGTAGAAAAACACTTAGAAGAGTAATTTCAGTGAAGGCAAGGCAGTCACTATTAGCATTTCAGGTTTCACATATATAGTACCATGCCTTCAGACATACTGTATGCATTATGTACATTGATACCTAGATCAAATTCACAAGACGGCCTGCTGCTTCAAAAGGGATAACCAATTCATTACTGAGAAAGACAGTCCTAGAAAAAAAACAGGAAGAAAAACAAGAGGAAACTAGCAATAGAATGAGACATTGGCTTTAAATTGTGCCAGGGTAGGTTCAGGTTGGATATTAGGCAACATTTATTCTCAGAAAGAGTGGTAATGCATCAGAACAGGTTGCCCAGGGAGGTGGCGAAGTCACCATTCCTGGAGGTGTTCAAGAGAGGTGTACATGTGGCACTGAGTGTCATGGTTTAGTGGGCAGGATGGGGATGGGTTGGTGGTTGGACTTCTTTTCCAACCTTAAATGATTCTATTCTATAAGAGCAGAACGTTTCCAGAACTGTAACAGAGCTCATGATAACCTATACCTACTAAGCCTTCTGTTGCACAGTCAAAATTTTCCATTTCCTGTCAGTTCACCTGTGAATATCATTCTCTTTTCCAGTTTATACCTTCTAAGAGATGTTCTTCAATTTTGTTAAAGACAATTTCCCCAAAGCTCTCTGATGCCTCAGTAAAATATGGTGAACTAACATAAAGCTGAAAGAAAAATCGATTCCCACTTGGTGTTATTTTTCTTGTGTCTCAGTGGTATTGTAACAATCAATGTATAACATCATATACAGTCAGTAACATTCCTTAAGTATCATTGATACAGTGCCTTTTTTTTTCCTTCTCTTTTAAACCACACAATTCTGGCACAAGTTAGATGTTATCATTAAAAATAGGTTCTGGAATAGGTATACAGTTCTATTTTTGGAATAGGTATACAGTTTTCCGTTAGTGTGAGAACATACCAAGCCATCACAAAACGCAGGCAGACAGAACAAACAAAATAATCTAGCTCTTTTAGAGCCTGTATTTGCACCAGAAAAGAAAGCTTTAAAGAGAGATTAATTGTACAACTGAATGTGCTAGGTTAGACATTCTTTCCAAAAACATTTCCAGAAGAATACACTTAGTCATTCTTGCATTTGCTATTTTGTCTTTGAGAAGTACTGGCACTCTGCAGCACATCATTCAAACCATTCTATATCAGTGTGCTATGGATTCAGAAGTCTTTCCATTTTCAGCATGTGCTTAATGGACCTGAGGAAAAAGAAATGCTTAAATCCAAGGAATTTCCCCTTAATTTTATTTCCAGTAGGAAGGATTTCACAGCAAGTGAAAAAAGAAGCTATTCCAAAGATGGCCATTTACAATAGCTGAATAGTCTATTATTTTAATTAATAGAATGTTCCACACTATGAAAACAAAAACATGAAGCTGCTATTATTGCAGATACTTCAGGAAATTATTTGTATTCCATGTAAATTCTAAGATGCTTTTACTGATCAAGCACATCTTCATCAAGTAGACATGAACACTGTCCCTATTATAGTGAAAACAAGAGCTACATTTCCACCTCTGTTTCTGATGAGAACATATTTAAAGGCATTCCAGAGATTTTTCATTATTACTTTAAAGCAGTAATTGTTTTGTGTTTTCTTTAACTGTCGATGAACTGTTTTCATTCCTAACTAACCATACACCTTAACTGCTGCTTTCTTTGTTACCTTATTTTTCATAGCATCTTGCATTCCAGGATGCAAAGATGTGAAAACACAAAGATGAGGACTCTCAATTTCATCCAGATGTCCAAAAACAGTAAGTTAACATTAAAAAAAGTTAACAATACAAAACATTGCGATCTGGCTCCACCATGTCTGTATCATGCCAGCTTTTGACTGCAATGCTGAAGAATTTTAATTAGAAGCAATGAATGCTACTCAGGAAGCAAAATTGACCCACACAATTTAATTTTTTTAAATTCTTTTCCCCAAACATAAGTCTGTAACCATCCAAAACATTTTTCTATCACCCTACAAAATTAGTAGCAGCTAACATACAGAATCTCTGTCTATATACAGTAAAAAAAAAAAACTATAACTATAGGTTTAAAAAAAAAAAAAAGCAAAAAAAACCCTCACTTTAAAAGAGCATGAATTGAAAGACAGTATAAGCCAGCTTTCACTTCATGCTTATAGTGGTAAAATAAGAGAAGACAAAAGATTCTTTCACTACCAAGTCAGCATTTCGTAAGTATAGTCGGGTTACATCTCTTGAAATATATCCGCAAATTTGCAAGCAAACTCAGCAGAGGTTGACTTGCTAACACTTCCAGTTAACTCCTCTCCAAAAGTTACCTATAATCCATGCACCTAACTCGGAATTGAACTGACAGCACTGTTTTGTTGTAGTTTTTAATCTTTATCGAAAAACAGGAGACCAATTCATAATCTTTATATGGGAGGATACCCCTAATTTCAATAGCCTTTCAGTATGGCCTTGCAGCCACAGGGGATAATTTGACTGTTTGCTGTAGGATGCATTTGTACTGCTGACTGCTGTAGTGGAAGAGAAGGTTATTAGTAGTCAACACAGATTCATGCTTGACCAATCTAGTACCTTTCTATGATGTAGATGGGAAGATGGGGGAGAGCAGTGGAGAGGAGCACTACAGAGGAGCTGGGTGTCCTGGTGGACAGCAAGCTGGCCATGAGCCAAGCAGTATGTCCTTGTGGGCAAGGAGGCCAATGGGATCCTAAGGTACATGAAAAAGAGCATGGTCAGCAAATCAAGGAAGGCTCTCCTTTCCATCTGCTCTGCCCTGGTGAGGCCACATCTGGAGTATTATACCCAGTTCTGGGTTCTCCAATTCAAGAAAGACAGGGAACTTTTGGAGAGAGTCCAGTGGAGAAACACAAAGGTGATGAGGACCTGGAGCATTTCCCTTATGGGAAAGGCTGAGAGACCTGGGACTGTTTAGCCTAGAGAAGAAAAAACTAAGGGGGACCTTATCAACACTTATAAATATCCAAAGGACAGGAGTCAAGTGGGTGGGGCCAGGCTCCTTTCAGTGGTGCCCAGAAACAGAACAAGGGGCAGTGGGCACAAACTGGAACACAGGGAATTCCAAACAAACATGAAGGTGACAGAACACTGGAGAGGTTGTGGAGTCTTTTTCTCTAGAGATATTCAAGACCCATCTGCGTGACTTCCTGTGAAACCTATTGTAGGGAACTGCTTTAGTAGACTAGATGACCTCCAGAGGTCCCTTCCAACCTCCACAATTCTGTGATTAACTCTTACAAAGAGCCTTAAGAATCAATAAGAAAAGATCAACTGCTAATATGCAGTATGTAAAGATATTTAGGAAAATAACGGCTACTCATTTAAAAATAGAGGCCAATGTGAAAGGAAACAACATTAAATTTAACTTTTCCATATAGAATAATAAGAATTTCAAAACCAAATTATTAATTAGAAGAACATCATACAGTATTTGAATATAGCAAAATCAGCTACATTGAGTTCATATTAAGCAAAAGAATGACTTAAAACTTACAGAAAGTAAACAGTGCAATATTAACTCTGCTAACTACCATGTCAGTGTGTGCTGCCATTGCTTGGTCTTCTCAGAGTCCCACTTTCAGTCAGGATCTTCACAACGTTTGGAATATCCATTCCTTTGTTAAAGGTAAAGCAAAAAAAAAAAAAAAAAAAAAAAAAAGGAAAAAGAAACTAAATGTTTTGATAATACAATATTTAAAAGCACAAGTAATAGTAAAACATTTAGACTGATGACATGAGTTTGGAGCCCTTATTAAGTGAGAAATACACTGTTACTAACCAAAATGCACTACATAATTGCCTAGAAACTGTAAACCATATACCTATGAACAGCTGCACTGTTTCAGTTAAGGGTATGTCTATCCTCCTCAAGTCTGTTACTGATTTTCAAAGATAACAGAATCACAGAATGGTTTGGGTTGGAAGGGACCTTTAAGATCACCTAGTTCCAACCCCCTGCTATAGGCAGGGACACCCTCCCTCCAGACCAGCTTGCTCAAAGCCCCATCCAGCCTGGCCTTCAATGCTTGCAGGGAGGGGGCATTTACAGCCTTACTGGGCAACCTGTTCCAGTGTCTCACCACTCTCACAGTGATGAATTTCTTCCTAATATCTAATCTAAATCTACCCTCTTACAATTTAAAACTATTTCCCCTTGTCCTGTCACTGCCTCTACGGTTGTTAATTAGGAAGGCATTACCATAAGTACTCTGTTTTATCACTGTACCAGTAAGACAATGGCCTCTCCAGAGCACAAGCAAGAAGTTTATATTGCTCTGATGAAATTGATGGCCATTACTTTGGGGGAGGGAGGAAAGTAGCATAAGAAACACAGGGACAGCTCAAGTGGTAAAAACCACACAGCGATCAGTGGTACAAAACACTAAGGGAAGAATAAGAACAGGGCAAGTATGTCTGAAAGCTGGTGGATTCTAAGAAAATTACATTCTCCCAGCCTCAGTTCTTCTTTAGAGCAGGCAATTTCCAAGTCTGCTATGACACACTTTTCAGTATTGCTTGGTGGCTCTCACACTGTCTGACTCAGGTGACATTTTAATAACCACAGCATCCATAGATCATCCACCTACTGCGTGAAGACTGCGTGAAGACCATGTTGAAATTGGGTTCTCTCTATACTCAAAGTTTAGGAATCTGTTATTTCCTATGTCTTTTGATCCATAATTGCTATTTCCACCCGTGCATGATTTTAAAGATCACTTATAACTTCAGTAATCTCTTTTCCAGGTGAAAAGCAGTTCTAGTTTTCTATTGTTTCTTATTTAGAAAATGTTCCCATATCTTGCTGCCTTCTCTAAACCTTTGCAGCTCTACAGTTCTTGATATGATGTAAGGGAAATGGAAGTGCATGTTCTATTCCAGATATATACAAAGCATGTGTATACACAACAACAAAATAATGACTCTCATCTTACTTTTCACTCTTTCCTTAATTCTTTATACTCAGTTTGTTCTTCTGATTAGTAAGTTGTTTTTCCCACTCTCTAATGAGGAGTATTTTAACTTCTTCAGTCAATCAACACTTTAAATGCTTTGAATAATCACAAAATTTTGTCATCCAGATACTCATCCCTTTTTCCAGGTCACTTAAACAGCAAAGAGATTAAGTACAGGACCACAGTTCTACTGGGACCTCCTCATTTGCTATCTGTTTATTTTTTAAAGAATGCAAACACTTCCTTCTTTTCCCATAGCCACTTAGTTCTGTTTGAAGCCTCTGATCTATCAAAAATAGCTATGAAAAGCTCCCTGGAATTCCAAACTGACTGTATGAACTGGATAACCTTATCTGACTCCTTTGCTGTCCCATTTCAAACATCTGCAGGAAGGCTATATGGAAGAATTTTCTTCTCCATCTCTAACACTATGACCCTGAGTGGATCATTTATCCAGGTGCTCACTAAATTCCACCCTGCTTTTCTAAATAGTTTCTATTCACCTCTCCAACAGAAGGTGGTATTTTCAAAGACCTCCTAGATCCCTGTACTGCCTCTGCACAAAACAGAGTTAACTTTCTCAGCAGCCCATGTGGTGCTGTGTTTTGGATTTGTAGCTAAAACAATGTTGATAATACGGCAGTGTAATTGCTCTTGCTAAAGACAGCTTTCACAAATGCCAAGGCTTTCCCATTTTCTCTCCACTCACTACACTCCCACTGAGTAGGCTGAGGGTTGGCAAGAGACTGAGAATGGATACAACCAGGACAGCTTCCCCGACCTGGCCATAGTGATATCCCACACCATCCAACATCATGCTCAGCAATAAAAATGGGTGGAGATGAGCTGGGGGATGTTGCTCCTTTCCCCCACCCCCTTCTGTCACTTAAGAAACTGTCCCAAAACGCCTACACTGATTCACCAGTTATCACATAGATGAGATTCATTTTTTACCTAATAACAAGATACTTGATTTTAGTTTACTATTTTTTACCCTGAGGATGTTACTGTGCATGAATGAAAAAAAAATTAGAAAAAAAAGTCTGTGTTTAACATCTATGTGTAGGGGCAGCCTAAACTGGCTCCTGTAAAAATTAAAAGGGAAAAAGCCTCCCCAGTATCTCAAAGTTCTTTGCCCCATATAATTATTAACGTTTCACAGAGCTAAAATTGTTACGTACATTCTCATACATGTTTGTGTCTTCAAGTATACATGAAATACCTCTGAAAGCTGGATTTGTAGCTGCTATTTTGTGTAGAGTAGCAGTAACTTCCTCAACATTCATATTTCTCACGCTGTTCAAAAATTCAGCGGTGACGTTGTTCTCATATGCTGTGTCCAAAGAGCCAGTTGAAAAGTTTTGCAGTTCATCTTCCTCATTTATTGATAAGGACTTTTTAGCCGATCGGCTGCTTGAATTGTCTTAAAGAAAAAAAAAAATACTGTTTTTCAGCTAGAGAAGATTCTGAAGGCTCTTCATTACTGTTATCCAAATAGAGCTTTTCAAAACAAACATTTCCAGTCTAGCATAGCAGCATCATCATTAATAAGGCCTGCATTCAACTTCATTAATAACATTTTCACACAACCGAAGAGTCCGAAATGATTTCCATTTACAGCAAATACTGAAGGAACATAGGTGGCAGGTGGGTGAAAGCTCCTTGTATCATCACTTAGAAAAAGCAACTAAGAGTTCTAATTCTTTCATATTGCAAGTAATTGCAATTTTTGTTATTAGCATTGTATTAACTGAGGTCTCAAAAGTTCAGCTTTACAGAAAACTGCCACTGTACAGAAAAAAAAATGATACGAAATAGATACACTAGTACTCTGGGCATTTTTATCTCCAAATTTAGGACAGTAATTCCAATCATACTATGTGAAAAGTAATAATTTGTTTATATTGAGAAGGAAATCCTCTCACAGAAATCCAAGATTTTTTTTTTAAGGCTTATCAGAAGCACTGAAGTCAGGCAGTGGAAACATGCAAATATTAAACAAAACTTTCCAAACTTTGTTTATGCTACCATCTTGCTTGGACTAGACCTGCATTAAGCCTCTTCTCCACCAAAAACAGAAAAAGATGTGCCAAAAACACCAAACAAAACAAAAGAGCTATACTTTGATAGCCTCTTTAGAAAGAGCTGCTTTTAGGAAAATAAGAACTGATCACACAATGAGAGTAAGATGAATGCTTATTAATAGGCTGCCTTTTCTATATGTCTATAGAGTATGAAAAAAAAAAACAAAACTATTAATCTAAATTACTTGGCTTTATTCTGCTTTTAAGCTCTACTTTTAGAGAAGCAGAAAATAAAAGCAGTTTTCTGGAATTTAATCTTAACTAGTGTTCTAATATTTAGATTAAAGCAATTTAAGAGTGTTATGCTAACATTACCAGTATCAGAATCACTAATATCTGCCGAAGTCAGCTCAGATTGTTCTGTAGAACGTTCCAATGCTTCTTCTCCATTACATTCATTATCTAAGAGGTCCTACAAGTTTGAAAAAAGTTGTGTTCAGCACTTCATCAAAATAAAACCCTAAAATGACAAAATGTGACCACAAAAACAGATGAGACATCACAAATTTGAAAAACAAAAAAGTTATTTGAAAATAACGTAGCTGGCATTGAACTTCTATGCACACATTTCTCATGGCATCTGTCTATATCTAAAAAACACTATCTATTGCCAATTGTTGCTTATGGAACCAATTCTCAGCCTGCCAGATTAAAAAAGCAAGTATTTTAAACTCCAAAGATTTAAAATAAATAAATAAATAAATAAATAAATGTCTGTTGAAATAAGTTCAGGACATGGAAGTGTTTTCTAGGGTCAATTTATTTTATTTTTCTATAGCTATTGGGCTAGAAGTTACTTCAGTTAGAACCTGATTGTTTTGAAGCATATCAGATGTTGCTCTCTACATATGAACATAAAAAACTTCTATGAAAGAACAGCAGGCATAAGATGAACGTAAATTTATTAAGGAAGTTAAAATGAGTAAATAATGGGAATTACAGGCATGAAATTCATCTTGGAGAAGTACTGCCTTTTTGAGGCAGCAAGAAAGTAGTAAAGATAGAATATCACAAGGAAAGAAACATTGCAATAGCATTCTGAACTAATTAAGGCTTTTGATGACAAAGCAAAACAACTGCCATACACTTTTTTTTTTTCCTGAATCATACCCTCTCTGATTCTCTACAACTTGTTTGGCTGATACTTATGTGGCATTTTCCTCTTAGCCTCTCCTTTTTAAATAAAGAAGTAGTTATGTAGCTGGAGTACCAGGAGTAGCTGCTGTGGCAAAGGAAAATTTTATTTGACTCAGAAGTTCTATTAGAAAAGTCAAGAGGCAAAAAGGGCATGGTTTCCAATCACAGATATGTTCAATGGATTACCAACAAGAGGACAGTTCCTACCATCCCTCTTGGATGTCAGTGTAGAGTCTGAATGTTACAATTTCATGTAATATAAATGGGAGAAACATGGGATACAAATGATTACCACAACAAACTCAGAGAAGAATTCAAGACACCTTCATATTGTGCTTACTTAAAGACAAGTCAGTCAAAAGCAAGAACAGAACAGCAGGAGGGACTGGGTTTCTGATAATAGAGCAAGAAAGAGAACTCAAAAGGAATAGCCTAAGAGTAGGAGCAAACCAAGAATTGTGTAAGAAAGAAAACTGGTATCAGTAATGTTAGATTATACATTAGTGAATGAAATGCAAGGCAAGGCTGGAAAAGGAAATATAGAACAAGATTGTCAGGGAGGTCAGAAGAGATGAGAAAACCAATGGTTGGGATTAAAAAGAAGTGAATTAGAAGAAAAACTTAGATGCAAGGGAAAGCATGGGAAATATGGGCTAAAATGCATTTTGGCTTCTTCACAAAATATTAATTTTAAAAGCACCTTTGAAGACAAGCACTGAGACTACTCAACTGAAAACCCACAAGTTTATCCTGTCATGACTTCAAAAATTCTTCAAGCATAAAACAGTCAAAATTTTCAATACATCTGCCATGACAATTTTAACTATAAGTAAATTATCTGTAATAACAAAAATGCCTCATCACATGAATCTATAGATTTGAAGAACCAAAACCTCATACTTTTTTTGATGCAGCTTGCTGACGATATTCCACCAATGCATCTGTGAGAGTCTGTGTGACTTTTAGGATAAAAGCAGCATCATCTTCATTCAGTATCTCAAAACTTTGCTGGAAAAAAAAAAATAAATCACAACTCAAAAATGTTTTCCTTCGAAAGATACAAGTATCAGAACATATAAACAAATCCTGAAAGAACCATTTCATTTTTATATTTCTATTCTCCTGTCAGGTATGGCTGTAGTTACAAGGTAAATAAACTTTCTATTTCCCAGAAACCACAGTGGGAGGGAAGAAATGGGAGACGGTCCTAACAGAAGACTGCAGCAGCTATCAAAGACAATCATTTGAAAAGAAATAACCCTAGAATGTTCCTCGAAAAACATGCAGGAAAATGCTTTCCCTTATGCAGGAAAACCCTTTCCAGGTTTTGATCTCTTCTTGAGCTATTTGCATTTAAGTGAATGTATACAATTTCCTCCCTGAGGCCAGATAGATTTTTCCTCACTTAAAAACTATGCAGTAAGAATAATCACTGAAAAAACTGGGAATTACTGCATGATATTGTGGGAATCAAATGTTGTTTCTGCATTAGAATTGGATATTATTTTTATTTCATGATCTCCGCTATCATAGTTTTTTTTGGAAGTCCTTCTACTTAACTTTGGGAAGATCTGATAGTTTACATCACTTATCCTCTAGACGAACCTTCCCAGGAACACACACTCTATATAGGTGTATATATGTATATGCTGTCATACACACTGCAAGAATATCCTGCACGAGATCAAACCAGAGAACAGGTCATGGCCTGCCCAAGGAAGCACCTGAAGAGACATCTGAAGGCCTGGCATCATCCCCCAGTGCTCTCTGTTTAACGAAGACTTTAAAGAAAATCACCACATCAATACAAGGAGAGCACCAAGTCATCTTGGAAACAACAGGATGGCTGCTGATTGACACCAGATAACAAATAAATTAACAAGTAAATAGCAAATGTAAACCTTCTGATAAGATTGTGAACCTGGAGTACCCAGCCAGAAACAGGGAAGGTGGGGAGGCAAGGGGGAGAAAACAGGGTATAAAGGCTGTCATGTTGTGTCCATAGGCGCGCTCCTGTTTGCGGGACGGCCGCCATTGCAATCGCGAATAAATTCTGCTTTTATCAGAGATGCCGTCCTGACAAAAATCATTTGGATATTTCCAACAATATGAAGAACAAGTCCAGAAGAATCATTAGAGAAGAAGATTAAAGCAAAAATCAATAGAAACAGATAATGCAGTCTGTGAAAACAGGACTGTAAATGCTAACACTGAACAGTTTGCAGTCGCAATCCCAACAATTCTCCCCCTGTTGTCAGAGGACAATCATGCTAAGAAAGATGCACTACTAGAAAGGTACAATCTTTACAGTTTTGCTTTTAAAAGGGAAACGTGTATAGATATACAGACACACATAGGTACACACACGATAAATACTGCTTGAATTGTCACGCAGTAGTTGACTCACACTAACTACTGTTAAAGATACACATTGAGTTCTTAGTGATGCTTTTAACAAAATCACCATTTCCACCACTTACCACTCCTGATATGAATGTGTAAACAACACACATTTTTGACAACTCAGAACTCAGCTGTTCTGCCAACTGTTTTACAACCTGAGGAAATGGAATTTATTTTCTAAGTAAAACCACATTTCATCCCTTGAAAACAGCTTCTTCCCTTTGTTCCTATCTCAAATATTTTAGTAGCACTAATTACCAACCAACTACTAGATAAGATCTTGATATTGACTAATTGCTAATCAAAATGAGTAATTTTTGAGCACTCAGCAATTCTGTGAGCTTTTCAAAAATGACATTGCAAGGCTTAAGATGTAATGCTTACCAGGTAACTCAGCAGTTCTTCCTGACTAGTGAATTCTTCAGCAGCTGCTGCAGATGCTTGCTGTTTAACATAAACAACATCTATTAGGTGCACTATTTAGAACTGAAATAATAATTATTATGGTTATTCTAGATGCTTGCTCTAATTTAATTGTGTGTGCTTGTACAGAAAAATGTGCTTTCACAACAAAACCTGAAAAAATATTTTTAAAGTTTTGCATAGTAACTCATGGGTAATTTGTTGTTGATAATATTATTAATTTGAATAAGCAAAAGCAAACAACATTGCCATATATTAATTATTATCCCAACTATGTGTAAACTGGAACAATCCATTAATGAAAAAATATTCACCTCAACTTCCTCGTTTTCTTCTTGCAGTTGTATACTGGTCTCACATCTTTGGATAGAAAACATATGCTATTTCTTTTATTATATTAAATAATACACACAAACACTCACATGCACACACACAGACTCTCCACATGGTTGATCTATCAAGCAATTGATAATCAGTTTAAATTATTGACACACTACACTTTGAAAGATGTCTCTGAAAGGTTATCGTTCCCTTGCAGACATTTCAGGGGGCCCAGATATCACTATAAAGACTTACAAAAAAAAAAAAAATATATATATATATATATATATATATATATATATACAATTTTATAGAAATACTGGGCATACAAAGACTGATCTGGCTTAAATTTATTAACCCGTATTTGCATGGTTCTGCAATTACAGCCTTCCAAGATCATGATCTCCCAGGATACCCATTGGTGTCTGGTGAAACCCAGATGTGAATGTCTGAGATATTATTAGCTCTCTGTATGGTAACTGTTGAGTCATGGCCTGAACCACTGATTGAGCACCTGGGGAAAGGACCCAGTCAGCCCTGGGAGCACAGGTGAAGGCAATTCAGCTGTGTGACTGGAAGGGATGGAGCCTGGCTGCACCTCTCTTAGGCCTCATTTAAGGGCTGACTGCTGCTGGGGAAGGATCTCTTTCTGGAGATCTCCCCTTGGTGAAGCTTTCTTCTGTGAACCTGAACTCTTCTAATATGGGGGAGCAATCTTTTTCCCTTCTTTTATAGCACCTCCCTGTTGTGCTGGTCCTTCCATCATCACACCTTTGTTGTAATGCTTTTCCTGTGATATTGATCTGTCCGTTCCTTGCTACACTCCTTATTTCTGATGTTTTTACAAACTAATTTACTCTCCAGATTAAGAGCTACTATGGTCCTTTCAAAACCTGACAAACATGAGGATTCAAAAACATGGATTTGAATTTGTTAATTAATTCTTTTCCTTAATGTCTGCCCCAGAGCAAAGCAAGAGTCCTATAGAAAGACATTTTTCCTTTTACTGTGTAACAATAAATAAGCAGAAGGTGCCAGCTCTTCATGGCTGATAGATATGCAACCAGTTTAAAGTTAGGAAACAGAGGGGATTTTTAAATCACGAGGGAATGTTCTTCTTTAATTTGTAAAACAAAGTTTGTGTATTAAGAATAACACCGTTGAAAAGTAATCACATCTAGAGGAAATATGAGGTAAATTTACATATTTTCTGTTGATAAGTGAAGCTTATAGCCATGCACACACTTTCAGAAGACGTGCATTCTACTACATTAGCACCCACTCACTCTTCACAGAACATTCCATGCAAATCCACTGTAGACAGTCATCATCTAGAGCATTTCCCTTCAAGTAATTTAAGGAGTTCAGGATTTATCTGATTTTGTTTTACTTTTCAGAACTGCTGCCTTCTTCGGTGAGGTTGCCTTTAGTGCTTTCAACAGCCGTGTTAGTTCCAACCTTCTCATCTGGTATTGTCTGTTCTTTCTGACATTGTTCCTGCTCCTCTTGAACATTCTTTTCTTCTAAAGGCAATAAAAAACTGTATATTTAGTAACAGCTTTCCAAAATTCTAACTTAAATATTCCTTGCTTGGATTTTTTTTTTTTAAAAGCAATATTAATGAAATCTGAAGGTATAAATAATCTAAAGAAATAAAATCAAAACCAGAACCTAAATATCAAATACTTGTGCTTCGTGGCTGAACCAAATCTATAATTCTGACCAGAAATATTCGGAATGAAAATAAATAAAATGCATTTAGATGGTAGCCCACTTCCCCCTCTGACATTAAGTTTACGACAAGCAGTAACTTCTGACATGGCAGGACTTCTTCCATTACATGGCATTCGCTAATTTTAACACTTAATTCTGTTGTTTTCAAAAAAATATGTATTAGTCAGACATTTTACATGATCAAATATATACATATCTATTTTACTTTCTTTTTATTCTTCTTGTGCCCTAAGCAGTCTGGCCTGCAGCTTGTCCCATTTTTTTTGTTTTTTTTTAATCCCGACACTGAAGAATGTTCAGTATGTTCAAAAAAGAACCTGGGCCCCTTGCTCCAAAAATAAAGTAAAAACAGTTAAAAGTTCTGCTTATGAATTCTGTTTCTGTTCTAACATAACCAGCTACAGCAATTTTAAGTAAACCTGGACAGTTTTCTTCACTAGGATTATTCTTTCTGCCTGCCAGACCTCAAACCCCACACGCTGTGTAAATACAACATCTACAGCAGAGCATTGCTATTAAAACCATAAACAAGTACATACTGAGTAAATTCATGCAGTGGTACAAGTTTAAAAAACAAAACCACTGTTCTCTGACCTTGAATCGGATCTGGCAATTTTCCATCCTTATTTTTACAGTCCATTCCTTCTTCATTACTAAGTGATGTATCCACATGCTGAACTTTAGCTTTTGATGGGCTATCATCTGCATTAGGATCTAAACAAACATGTTTGAAATGTAGCAAGATGGACTTGATATAAGTTAAAAGAAAATTATTTATAGCAGTTCTGAAAGTTCACCTGAACTGTAACCAGCACTATTTCTGTGTATTACTAGCTATAAATACAAATAAGTTTGTATGCATTATTATGTGACAACATATAAGATACTAACTAAAAGTTTTAACTATTTTATACCCAGGCTATAACTACACACAGATCTCTTTCTTAAAAGAACTAAATATTATAAAACATAGTAGAATTCTATACCAGGTGCAAAATTAGACTCATTAACTGAAAGGATTCTGAGTAGGATTTAACTTATTTCAAAGCTCCTATCTAGATTTGAAATGGATAACTTTCCTCTTTAGAGCATGGCACTGCTAATTGAGATCATGATAGAAATAATCTCCACATTACTTCCATATTTTACGATACAGTTTACATATTAATATGCATTAAGATTAGTACATTAGTTTTAATCCAAGTCTCCAAGCAAGTCCAAAAAACCAGAGTTGTGTAACAATTCTTATCCATTTCCTTGAACAGCACACAACTGCACTGTCTGTCCACCCTTGTTGTGGACAGCTGTGGAATACTAAACTGAGTGGAGAAGTCTCACAGACACCATGTTCCTACAGCTTCCTGAGCACCAATGGCTGGTAGAACTGAAGGCTTTCTTCCACAGGTAAGAGACTTACACTTGGCTTTTTGGACTGCTTGGTAAACGTACACATTGAGCTCCAGCCTACTCCTTCTGCCTAGTTCCCCAAAAAGCCTGTAAGTAGCTACTACAATTGTTACCAGGTAAAAATATATATATGTTTCTGCAAAATGAGGAAGACTTTTTAGTTTTGTGGATGAGGGGGAGAATGGAAAGGAGAGAGAATGCTGACATAAATAACAGGTCTCTCTAGTGGCTCATGGAGGAAAAAAAAAGCTGTTCATCTAACAAATTTTCAGTGCAATAGACCTTACAAAACACAGCTAACAACATTTCACATAAGCTCATTCTGACCAAACCTTTCGACCCACCCTGAAATAAAGCTGTTTCAGAACAAGTTTACCCAAGTCAGAAATGTACGGGTTACATCCCAGTGAACACACTTACATTCTTGCCATCTTTTCCTGATTACTGGAGCTTCTATAATAACCTAAAAATACAAATAATTATTGCAAATTATAAATTAAAATAATATCTAATAAAATAGATATTATAATTATTGCAAATAAGACCCAGTTACGTTGGATATTTTGCAGATTAAATCTTATGTATTGCATTAAATAGTTACTTTGTATTGGTTTGACCAGTAACATTAAACACAACAGTGTAAAACACTGAGTAGACATTCAAATAAAATATAAAATAGCTGGATTATGAAAGATCAAATCAAATAAAAATATCAAATACCAAATTAATAACAGGTTATGCGCTCTATACTTCAAACTTCCTTAAACCAACGATGAACTTGTTATGGATGCAATTCAACTGTTCTGTTTTTAATGTGGGTTTTTTTTTTCAGAGACAATCTACAGCATATCTGTATTATATATAATTCTATATCCATCAAGAAAAATCTGAAAATAAACATATACATGTATATTATTTCCACAATCATGCCGGAGAAGTATTAATCACATTATGTCGGTTTGCTTGCAAACAATAATATCCTGTGTGCAAACTAATTCCATATGTAAGAATCTACAACTTTGCCAGAAGCCAGACCTTGCATAATTTAACAAGATTTTGGTCCTGTACAAAGACAATACTTCTTAGCATTATTAGCTCTTGCCAAGAAGCACTGCTTAACAAGGATGCTGTTGACAGACACTGAAACCAGTACGAATTTAAGGCATAGCATAAAGACTGATAAGCATCTGAATCAAGTTTTTTTAAAACTTTATTGTGGTATAAACAACAACTGAAAGCAATATGAGGACATCTTCATAAGAACATGATTCTAACAGGACTGCCTCACAACAGTTTACACTCATGGTTCTCCTACGAGCACCATGCCATTGCTGAGAACCTCAAACACACCTGCAAACTTCCACTCCTTACTCACTTTTTAAAATCTGATTCTTTTGTCAACTGCCACAGGATGCTAACAAAGCAGAAACTCATTTGTGAAAATATAAAAAGCAGTTTCCCAGCAACAATGAAACAAGTTATTTTGCACATGCAATTGGGAATTGATTACATATCAATATAGATTTAGATATTCTGGATGTTGTGCTCCACACAGCTGTGTTTCTGTAGGCTCAGGTAGCTCAGATATTCTTTCAAACAAGAGAAATACTTATGATGAGAATGACCAGTAGAAAATTGCATCCCGGATACTCTCAAAAGTAATATTAAGAAGATAAAAGTACCTCTAATAAATGTTAAAAGGAATTTTAAAAAGTTTTCCTACCGTGCCAAGCATATCCACCCACTATAAAAGAAATAATTTTCAGTTTATTTATTACTGTATACATTCTGAAATTCTTAAAGAAATGTACCTTTAATTGTTTTCTTCCTTCCTTCTTCTCAATTGTTAATGCAACTTGCCTAACTTTTCTGTTCAGTTCAGAGCCTTTACCCTTAACTTCATCAGATTCTGCTATCTCAGGATAATGTTGTTTCTAGATAAATAAGGAAATGGAAATCATGACGTCACACTTTATCCCATGCAACTTTTTCAAGCTTTGCAACATCTAATGCTCATGGGAGAAAAATCAATTTGTGTGCACACAAAACAGAAAGTATTAAAATGTTTAAGTACATAATTGCAGAAAAATTGGGAGGACCAAGGCCAAATCTTCTGCTCGAAGCAGGCTCAACACTCAAATCTGAACTGGTTGCACAGAGCTTTGTCCATTTGCTCTTGAAAAGCACTGGAGACAGAGATTCCATGATTTTTCTGGTCTATCTGCTCCAATATGTTTGACTGTCCTTGTAGTGAAAATCTTATGTCAGGCAGGAAATTTCCCTGCTTGAATTCACATTCCTGCCACGCATCTCCACAAAGGGCTTGATTCTGTCTTATTAACAACCTCCTATGAGGTACTGAAGGACCAGATTCTCCTGTAGCTTTTTTTTCTCCAATCAGAACAAATCCAACTACCTCATCTTCTCCTCAAAGGAGGAGTGCTTCTCATCTTGGCAGCCCTCCACTTGCTCAACCTCATCAGTAACTTTCTTGTTTGCAGGAGCACAAACTGTATTCTAGATACACCCTAAGAGATTACAAGAAAAGGGAAATAATCACTTCCCTTCATCTACTGGCTGTGCCCTTGTTAGCAACACTGAGTTCACTGTTAACATCCATTGATGCCAAGGTACACTACTTAGTCATCTACAGATGGCCAAGGCCACAAGGACCTCTAGTTCTTATTCAGAACTAGCCTGTCCCACTAAGGCTAATCCAGCCCAGGTATGAATTAAATATTATCCTTGCTGAAGCATTACTACTATGTTTTATAGTGTTTAAGAATATAACATAGATGCAGTAAGCTTCAGAACTGAAGGAAAACAGTTCAAAGCTAACAAGAAATACAAGAGCTAATTGCATGGAAACCATCAACACAAGTCTCACTGAGCATATCCAGCTGAGTTAATGAACAAGACCAGCATGATGTATAAGAAGATCATCATTGCAGAACCAGTGCAATATGTCTCATAACATTAGCTTCTGAAAGATGGAACAATTTCTTCATTAGTCCAGTTCTTTAAAATACATTTTAATATTCATAATATTAAATTAAATATTATTATATTATTATATTATATAAATTTATAATATTAAATCACACTAAATTAAATATTATTAATTAAAAATCTACTTGTAGTCAATTACAGTGATGGATCTTGTTATTGGTGTTGCTGGCCAAACAAAATAAAATGAGCTGACAATTCAGTGTCAGCAACTCCCAGGCATACATATTGTTGGTGAGCTGAATTCTAAATCAATTTTTAGAACATAAACTAATTTGCATGCTTACAGCATAAATACATAAAAGCTTTTATAAGAAAATAACAGCCTAAAAACATGTTTTTTTAATTAAAAGATACAATTTCCAATTTCTCTAGTTAAACAAAACAAAATCTACAACGACAAAACAAAAGTATTTTAAAGTAAAATCTTACCAGGTATGCCAGTCTGTGCTTGGAGCCACAAACATGCATGAACATGTTGCTCAGTCCTGTTTTACAGTGGCACAGTTGACACTCATAGAGAAAAGGAAAATTATCTTTTGATCGATATTCAATTATATAATTAAGTCCTGCATTGATTTATTAGAAAAAAAAAAAAAGAAAGAAAGAAAGTTTGGAATTGTGATGTTTTTTGAAACAATGTGTTCCATATTTTGGAGCTTAAGAAGCAAATAATCAGTGCTAGCTACAAAAGAATACTAAAGGAAACTGTCAATACTGCATGTCAAACACATGAATTTAGATTTTCAAAACTACAAGTTATTCTATCTTCTGGCTGTCTTATCTTCCAGACTTTTTCAACATCAAAGACAAAAAATGTCTTTAAGATGCCTTATGTTTACCACATAGAACTTGACACAATGAAAAAAAAAAAAATTAATAGAAACATAAAAAAAAAAAAAAAAAAAAAGGACTCAGAAAGGAATCTATTTCTCTGTACATTTTAATATATGCCCCTGTAGTTATTTTTCCTGTCCATTCCATTCTCCCCTTCCTCCTCAGGACGAGCCACTACATCAGAAAAAAAACAGAAAGAAACTGACTTAAATGAGTTTTACTATCATATACCCTTAGGTTGTTTCTAGACCACAGAAACATTCCATGTTAAATCCAGTAATGCAATAATGCTGTCACTAAGATGAGTCCCTGTCATACCATACCACTTTGCATCAATGTACACTCAGAAAAACTAGATAATGTATAATAAAGGCTTACATTTAAAAAAAGAGCCCAATATTCTTCAAAGATAAACATCATACAAGCAAGCAATCACACTACTGAAAACTCTCACCAAGTGCAGGTTCTGAATCTTTACATGTATTAAGCTGTTCTTCCAAGGTCTGTCCATGATACCTTTCTGGCTTAGCTTGCACTGTAAGATAAAATTGCTTTCATGTAATCTCACATTACAAACTCACCAGTCAGTCTTCATAGTCTCAAATCAGGTCACAAAACTCCAAAATGAAATGAAGTCCTCACTCCAACCTCTGGCCTAGAGAACACCTGCTAAGTAATTCACACGTAAATGAATCCCTGCTTATAATGGGCCCTACATCACAAATCAAGTCAGCTATCAAGTAACATAACCCTGAAGTCCTATTTGCACTTCCCATAATATTGAACTTGCAAGTATTGTTCTAAGTGTTATTATAAAATGCACTGCAGATCAGAAATAGAATTGATAGAAATGAGCTCCAAATGACCTTCTGTGGTTCAGACAGCTGTACCTCAAAACATTTTCTTTTGCCTATTTCTTTTTTTTGTTTTTTTTTGGCGGGGGATGGTGGTAGGTATAGAAGGGCATTAAGCATTCTTACCGTAACCAGGAAGTTTCAGAGGTGCTTTCACTCGGTCCCCTGTACCACTCGCAGTTTTAACTAAAACACAAACCAAAACTAAACTAAAAAACCCACAAGTGAAAATTACAATGTGATGTTTTTAGCAAAAAAAAAAAAAAAAAAAAAAAAAAAAAGACAATACAGATTTATACCAAACAGCAGCACGTGTCTTTATTAACACAATGAAGCAGGCAGAGGAAGACCATCTCAATCATTAGCTATCTCACAGCACAGGGATAAGCACATACCAGAAAATTAAATTCTTAGAGAGTGGCTTGAATTGTAAGTAATTTTGGCCATAATTTAATTTACATAGAAGGCAATCTGCAACAAGGGAAAAGTCCGACTGATTCTCTGCAATGCAAATATCTCTTATTTTATAATTAACAAGCTTCAAGTCATAAATTTCAGGTCTTCTTAATCTAATACATCACAGCTGTTCGGTTTAAGTCCACTGAACTTGAGACAATTAAACCTCTTGCCTCTCAGAGTACTTGATTCAGCCCATAGCCATCCTACCTTTTTTAAAAGCTCTGCAGCTATCTCCTCCCCAGCCAGATATTTTTTCTGTCTGCATATGGCACCTGATAGGAGCTGCAGAACCTTAGGAAAACTACAATAAAGCAACAAACTCATAATACGAGTTGTGCACTGTACAAAGCTGTAAATATATTTTGGTGCATCACAGAGTAGCAGAACATCTATAGCTAGGCCCTCATTCCTAGTGGAACTAGACCAGCACATAAAAAACTGGAAAAGCTTTAATGATAAATTAAACCTATTAAAGTCCTTTGCTTCAGCTAATTATTAAGATCATAAAATCATAGAATGGTTTGGTTTGGAAGGGACCATTAATATCACCCAGTTCAAACCCCCTGCTACAGGCAGGGACACCTCCCTCTAGACCAGGCTGCTCAGAGCCGCATCCAATGCTTCCAGGGAGGAGGCATCCACAACCTCTCCAGGCAACCTGTTTCAGTGTCTCACCACCCTCACAGTAAAGAACTTCATCCTGATATCTAGTTTAAATCTGCCCTCTTCCAGCTTAAAATAATTTCCCCTTGTCCAGTCACTACCTGCCCTTATAAGAAGTCCGTTCCCAGCTTTCCTGTATGCCTTTTCAGGTACTAGCAGGCTACTATAAGCTCCCCCTGGAGCCTTCTCTTCTTTAGGCTGAAGAGCCCCATCTCTCCCAGCCTGTCCTTGTAGGATAGGTGCCCCATGCCTTTTCATCATCTTCATGGCCCTCCTCTGGACCTGCTCCATGTCCTTTTAGCATTGGGGGCCCAGAACTGGACACAGCACTGAGGAGTTAATAAGCTCTTTTATAAACCAAATAAAAAGTGTGTGTTGAGCAGGTACATGGTTTGGGAAGCATGACTTTTTCACATGTATTCTAAATCTTGAAGATCTCAGATTCTCTGATGTTTCTCAAAAATTAATGTAGGGGACCATCAGTACTGCAGCCAATTAATCTTAATAAACTTATTTCGTTTTTTTTTTTTTTTTCCTGTAGGATTATACAGTTAAATCACTAAAGAACACAAGATAGGTCTCAAAGCACAAATCTTGAGGAAGTCTTTTTTTCCTTTTTGTTCCTCTAAATTGAGACAGGCTGAAAGGAACATCTATAAATAAAATAGGAAGTAAAAAAATCTTGCACTTACCAATGCCATGAGCCTTCAGGGCTTCTTCAACCTAAGTCATCAACCACCAATGAAGGAAAAAGTCACTCGTGATTCAAAAAACAGCAATGTTGAAGTTTCATTGTTAATAAAAGAAGTTAGATTAACACTAATACTCTAGATTACCTCAAGAAAATTGTATTATACTCAAAAAAAGATAACTAGGCAAAATTAAGTACATTAGTTAAATATTTCCATTCTGGACTTATTAACAGTCCTATATTCTCCAACATTCCATTGGAGATTGGAGATTTCAAAGCTGTATTCTACTGCCAAGTAAATCTAGAAAATCTGACAGAAGGTGCAGTGAAGAACTGGCCTTACCTTCTTGTGCTTGAATCCAAGGAAGTGAGTCTGCAAGTTTAATGCGGAAGCACACCAGATTTTGCAAATCTAGGTTAAAGAGCAGAAGTATTTCTATCACTGCACATAAGCCAGCAGAAAAAAAAAGATAATGCTTTAGAACAAAAACACAAGTTCAAGGCTCTTAAATTGCCAGAAACTTTCAATCCATCTGTTGCATCTACAACTTCCTAACACTTAGCTCCTGACATGCCTATGACTCTTCGTATTCCTGCTCCCTGAATGCTTTTAAAAGGATAGTTCTGTGTTCCTGATCTTCACTGAGCTGGCAAAAAAGTGACACAAGAGTAAACCAAAGTTGACTGCTTTATTGTAGAAAATCACCAGGTTTGCTGGGTCACACTACAGGGCGACTGTAAATGAGCAAAGAATTGAGTTGGGCTTGAGGAAAGGCAGGAGCCAAAGCACCTGAGAGATGTGGGTATGTGGCTTAACACTCAAAGTCTGGTGACCACAGTGACAGGGTGAGGCCTGGGGTGAAACCAGAAGAGCAACCACACCTCTATATCAATCATTCCTACATTTCTTTAATTAACAACACAATAAGATTAATTAGTGTCCTTCAGCATAGGATATGTGACCCAGTCCCAACTCCTAGCATAAATCTAGTCCCTTTGGCAAGTTTGTTGAGATGAGATGCTCTGTTTTCTCGAGCGGAATGATGGGTCCGACTGTGGAATATGGCCCAGACAGAGCCTGCTGAAGAAGGGGAGAGGTTGTGCAGGACTGGAGAATAGGTCAGGGTGTAGGTCCTGTAGCTGCCCTCTGATTGATAACAAGAACTGTCCCTTGCCATGCAGGTTGGATAAGGCTGTAAGCTATGCCTCTGTTACACCATTCCCTCCAGCTGCCTCCATGTACTTTATCTATGCCTAACCACGTATGGCCCGGTACTCAAGTCAAGGGCCTGAGTTATGACCAGAAGTTATCAAGGAAAAATGAAGTGCCACCTCTGGCAAAAACATGGCAACCATAAAACCCTGCGATAATTAACCTAGGAACAATCCTTCACATTTTAGGGAACTGAAAATGGGGTATTAAGGAACCAATGGAAGTTGAACCAAAGGAAGAATGGAAGTTCTCCGCTTTCAGCAAAGTCAACCTCTGCTTATATCTCATGTATGCAACAGCTTCCTCAGAATTTGATAAATTGCTTTGGTGCACTTGATCCGTGTCAGTGAAGTGCACCATAGTCAGTGTCTTTTTGCTGGGTACAACAAACCAGAGAATGGGGCGGGAAACTCACTCATTCTTCTTTCCCCATTCGCAGGCACATCTCTTTCAGCAAGGACTTGCACTTCTGTTACTTTGCAGATGATACCCAGGTGAATTGTTAATACAGCTTAATTAATTAACGTCTAGCCTTAAGATATTTAGCATGAATGCAGCTAGTGTATTTATCAACAGCACTCCTGAATCTGCTTAATACATTGCCTATATAAGCTATCAACCACTCAACTTTGCAAATCTGTTTCAGTAAAAACCCCTGAGAGGTTTTAACAGGCATCTGCTGTTTACTGACTCTGGTCAGGACAGTACATGATCCTTTGGACAAAAATGATTGACCAAGTCTGGGATTAAGATTGGGCCTAGCTGCATCCAGACTCCTCTCAGAGAAGGAACTTAAAAAGCAAAGGGGGACCTTTCTGAGACTTGTGATGCAACAGAAGAGCTTTCCCAACTAACCAAGCATCATATATTTGTTTATATACCTGTCCTCTTAAGCACAGAGATCTATTTTGGAAAGGCAACTCCTGTTACACCTCCTTGAACATCATTAATAGCAATAACCGATTTTAAACTAAGAAATGATGCTTGCGTTAACGTGTTCTGTATTTGTAGAACACGTAGCAGCAAGACCTCACAGTTATTGTTACTTGAGATTCTGAAGTTCATAGCAGTCTCTGAAAATATCAACTGTTCGAGTTTGGAAAAATAGTGCAACCTTTAAACTTGTAAGCTTGTAAGGATCACATAAAGTGAACAATATGGAAAAGAAAACACACAGAAAATGCAAGAACATTAAAAAATGCTACTCAGGAAATCTGATGTGGGTTACAAATGGAAATACTTCATAACTGAGTAGAAGAGAGGCAAACCAGCAACCTAGCACTGCCAGAAGCCAGAGTGAACACAGCTATTGTTTTCACTGGTATTTGCAAGGAGTAGAGCTGGCACGGGAATTGAAAATCCCTTGTCTGATTTGAATTCAAACCAACAAACCTCAGCAAGTTTTTTCAAGATACTAAGAAATGGCAAATACATTTGTAACGAGGAAAGATAACAGCAAGATAACCTGCATCACCAAGCTTTAGCTAGAAGCTAAAGACACTTTAGTCTCTCATTTACTGCCAGACCCCATGTACTACGTGCACTCCTAGCAGGACATCATTACAGAATCACACAATATCCCCAGATGGAAGGGACGTGTAAGGATCACTGTGTCCATCTCCTGGCTCCACACAGGAACAGATTAGGTTGTGGATGCCCCACCCCTGGAAGTGTTCAAGCCAGATTGGATGGGGCACTGGGCAGCCTGGTCAAGTATTAAATGGGGAGGTTGGTGGCCCTGTCTGTGGCAGGGGGGTTGGAGATTCGTGATTCTTGAGGTCCTTCCAACCCTGGCCATTCTGTGATTCTGTGAACACTCAAAACTCAAGCCTTATGTCTGAGAGTGATGTCCAAACGCTCCTTGAACTCCAGCAGCCTGGGACTGTGCCCACTGCCCTGGGCAGCCTGTTCCATGCCCACCACCCCCTGGTGAAGAACCTTTTACTAAGGCCTAAACTGACCCCCTGATGCAGCTTCATGCCATTCCCTTGGGTTCTGTCATTGGTCAGCTACAGATCTCCTCCTCAAAAACGAATTCACCACATAAACAGGAAATACTACAGGGGGTCAGTTTCAGGAAGCCCATTGCTAGCAGCAAGCAAACACAAGAAACATGGGCATTGCAATGCAGCACTGTTCTGAAGACCCCACCAGTTGTACTAAATCACTGATCTACGCTGATTTTCACCAGGCAATGCATGCCAGCCTTCAGCTAATGACTGTGTACTAGCATCAAGACGTTTCCTTCCAAGAGAGGAAGTAAGTGAGCAAAGAAGTATCCGTTTCAAAACATGGTCAAAGATTTCCAAGAAGAAAAATAAACAAACACAACCTACTGGTTCTGCACCAATTTTGTTCAAGATTACAAAAAAAAAAAAAAGGAAACAGAACTCAGAACACTGCATACCCTGTTCGGTTCAATTTTGTTCTAGCACAGTTACATGGCATTCATTACAGTTCTCAGCGAGCAATACTTACATTGCAGTAGAAAGGGTTCACCTGCTTCTTTACCTCCGCCTCGAGATCCATAGCTGCCCTTTAGGTGACACAGGAGCTCTGGGAAGACCACAGAAAGACGGCAAGCTGTTATTTCAGCGCCAGGAAACCATCCGCTCCGCGCATCCGAGCCTTACGCATATTCCAATTTTAACTCGTCCTCAGCGGCATTAAGCCCCTAAACCTCCGGCCTAACGGCGGTATTTTTAGCTCGAATGCCACGGAAAGAAGCAGTTCTTCCCCCGAAGCTTCCTTTGAGCGGCACAAAGCCCCCAGAAGGTCACGCGCGCCCCCGAAGCAGAACAAAGCCGAACTACTTCCCACGTCCCCACGTTCCTCGAGGCCGAGAGGCGGCTCCAGAGCTCGAGAGGTCTCGGCCACGCTTCCTGGTGGGGATGGTGCCCGGGACCCCGGTCTTACCGCCGGCCCGACGGCGCCTGCAACCAGTGCGGCGCGGCTGCCTCCTCCCGCGGGGCCGCTCGCGCTCAGGCGGCGGCGGGGCCCCGGCTCACCGCCTCCCCCGGCGGCCGCTGGGAGCGCTGCTGAACGGCCGCCGGGCGCTGTCGGAGGTAAAGCCCGGCCAGGGGCCGAGCCCCAGCGTGGCGTGAGGCGTGAGGGGCTGGGGTGTAGCCGGGTTGCGAGCCCCTCGGCGCCTTGCGGCAGCGCCGCACCCTCCCCGCGCCGCGCCTCCTCGCCGCCCTGTAGGGCCGCCGGCTTGCCCCGCGGGGCCGCGCCCGCTGCCCGCTTCCTCCGGGGAGAGGGCGATCCAGCGCGGGCTTTGCGGGGAGCCGCGGAGCGGCGGCGAGCTGCCGGCGGGGGGGAGCAGAGCGAGGCGGGGGCGGCGGCGCTTTGTTACCGGCCCGGGGGAAGCAGCGCGCGTCTCGCCGCACGGCGCGGCCTCGGCGGGAAGAGGGGTAACGGCGTACGGTCTCTATCCATCCATCCATTCCTCCGTCCCTCCGCGGTAGATGTTGCTGAAACCGTGTGTCAGCTGCAGCCTGCATGTCCGCCCTGGGTGGAGCGTTCTCCTTTGTCGAGCTGGGAGCCGTTCTCCTGCCTCAGCCGAGCAGAAGAGGAGCTAGCGAGGAGAAGGAAGAGAGCTGGAGTTGATGTGGGAGAAGTTCGTGTGCAGGAGAGTCTGGTAGGATTGCTGTTTGTGGCTCTGTGGGGTGGATTTCGGGCGCTGGTTGGGGATGCCGACTTGCATCCATCACCGTGCTTCGCACCAACGGCTCTGCATGGCCGCGGGCGGCAGGATGACCCGTTTAGAATATATCTATCTGCGTTCGTCAAATACAGCGTTGGATGTTGCATAGTTTAACGACGCATCGCAGGTCCGTAGGCGAAACATGGTGAATTTAAACCAATAGGTGATCTTGCTTGTTTGTACCACGACATCGATTAATTAGTATTAAAATGGGTAAAAGCGCTCAACAGGTTCTGTTTGCTGATGATGTGTGACAACATTGCCGTCCGTGTCGCGTTGGTGTTCGCAGTGTGTGCCTCAGTCCCCCGCCGGTGCCGCTTCTCACAGGGTCGGGCCTGGAGCACTGATGGGCGCTGCGAGGAAAGCAAACACGGGAGGAGGAAGGACGCTGTTTGCTGCTGGTTCTGTCATTCACATGAAACATAAACCTGTTGTTGTGGCTTCCTTTGGTCGCGGTGTTTCCCGTGCCTTTCACCCTCAGACACTGAAAAGTACAACATCGACTGTTTTCCAATGCTGCTAATTGCCAATTATGCTTAAAGCTTCATCTGTAATTTAAGTTGGATAGATTTTCTTTTTATTCCCATTAGCTATTTCTGATAGTAAGCCTGTTGGCATTGGCAAATGACTTCCATGTTCACACTGTGAGCAGCTGCAGTTTGCTAGCAAACTGTTATCTGCGTTTTGCTTACAGTAACCTTCACATTTGGCTTAAGACTTCCACCATAACCTTCTCTTTGCATTTTCTTGTGGCTAAATAAATACCTCGGGGACTGAAGATGCTCACACATGTCAGCATGAAGGGATTTTCCTTCAAACAGGCTTCTTTGTAACTGGCTCGAGTTTGTCTGAATGTGTGCAAGCAAAATAATATGCATAGACCTACTTACAAGCATACATGCACTTCTTCACTTATGCAATTTTTTTCCCCAAGGTATTCTTCCAGCAGATCACAGTCTATACCTTGTAGTCCTCAAGAGAAGAATTCCACACAGTGCTTCAATTTATCAGGAGTTGGGAGATGTTTTTGTTATTTTCAGATAAAGGTTTGTGTGAGAGAAGTACTTAGGACACTGATTTGTTTTAATGCAAGTTATGAATAGAACTATGCCAGGAGAAGATAATTACCACAAAGTAATTCTTAACAGCACAGTGCAGTCTTAGAACCTGGGCACTCGAATCTGAGAAACCTTCCATTCTTTTTAGAATTTACACTGTGACTCTTCATATGCCTACACAGTCCTGTTTACTGCTATAATCGGTAAACAAGTTCAATTTCAACACATGTTCCAACAGGCTAAATTATATCCTGGGTATATGTCTTGGGAGCATCTTTCAGCCTCAAATGGAAATGATCTGAGTTTGAGAGAGCCCTTTCCCATATTCCACTTAGGAGCTGGTGGACTGTAAGAAGGCGATCAATATCCACAAAGGAAAAGGTGAATATGAATGCATGCTGCACATTCTCAGTGCTTTAAATTGTCTTGCATCTCAGACTGCTTTCAACTCACCTTGTTGAAAATGGGTTTTAATTTATTGAAAGAAGCAAGCTAAATATACTACAGCATGAAAAGAATCTTTAGGAAATTATTTTTTTTTCTTGAGCACATTAAACTGCTTTTAGCTGTTCCTGAGTTCTTTTATGTATCCTAAGTCATAATCCTAGATTTTTCACTGAAGGAGCACAGGCACAGTGTGTATGTGTAGGAAGAATAGCTAGGAATGTGCATGGGGGAGGGAAAGACTAATATACTGTATTCTTCTCAGACCAGGGCCTACATTTCCTTTTGAACTGTGCAGTGTTTGAGCTTCTAACTGGGGATTTCAGGTGCTATTGCAATAAAGATAATAGCAGTAAGTGATATTTTGGGTATAAAAGTGATGCTTCAGTGTTTGCAATGTCTCCAACTATGAAAGAAGAGCTTTTATCCTTATATATAGGGTGTGGACATGATGAAGTTGCATTTGGTAGTGTTTTAAATATTCACTGACATCAGGTGATGTGTCAGTCTCTGTAGCCAAATATTGAGCACCTTTATCACCTGGAATCCAGAAATCCGGGTATTATTAAGTTTAACCTTTTGAACTCAATTTCCAAAACTGAAAAATTGATTGTTATGCTAATTAAAGGGATTTTTTACACATAAATGTAATCATTTTCAGTCTGAGTTTTTCACACTCTTTCAAAGCTAGAAGCAGGATTTATGTGCCTCAGTGGGAAACAGCATCATCCCTTTTTGACCCTGTTTGTGGGATTTGCAAGTAAGGTGTTAAAAACGCTGGTGTCTGTATCTCTTGTGTAAACCTTGGGGATGTAGGTCTGAGAGCAGCTGAAGAAGGGAGTCTTAGACAGCATGAGAGGCCTGTTTTGGCAACAGATACGTGGTTTCAGCAGAGTCTTAAAGACCACAGTGCCAGCAGGGCACTACTTTTGGTAGTAGTTTGTTAGCTTTTTGTGTATATGTTATTGCCTTCATGGAAAGGTGAGAATAGCTCTAAGTATCAGGACGTTTTGAGGAAAGGAATTATGAGGATGGTACAAAGAGAATGCTAGTGCAGTGCTGCTATGAAAAAATATTTGGACTGAAAAAGAGAAAGTATGATGGTGACATCTATTGAATCATCAGGTAATGTTGTGAGAAAAGTAGTGGAAACAGTGGGCAAAATTCTAGAAAATTAATTCATTCTGGTCTTATGTTTACAACTTATGGAAGCACTGCTTTGTTCTTTTTTTTTCTTAGCTGAGAGTTCCCTGGTATCAATTTTGCTTTTCCTGTTTTGTACTTAAGTCCTAGGCTTGAGAAGACAAGTGGTAGTTAAACATGGTGTAAGTCTACAGCAGTGGTCTGAATGAGACCAAAGCTCTTTTTAGCTATGAAATCATAAGGAATAGTGACACACATGCTTGCTCAGCAGTAAAGGGTGAAGGACCTCTTCTTTGCTGTGTGGATGGCTGAGCAGTGCCCAGAGAGTTTGTGGAGCTTCCCTCCTTGCAGCAAAAGAATGACATGACATGGACCTGTTAGAGTGGGTCCAGAGGAGGGCCACAAAAATGATCACAGGGCTGCAGCACCTCTTGTATGAGAACAGGCTGAGAGAGCTGGGGCTGTTCAGCCTGGAGAAGGCTCCTGGGAGATGTTACTGCAGCTTTCCAGTATTTAAAGGGGTCCCTCAGGAAATCTGGAGGGTGACTCTTTTTCAGGGAATATAGTGATAAGAGATTTAAAACTAGAAGAGGGTAGGTTTAGATTAGATGTTAGGAAGAAATTCTTTACAATGAGAGTGGTGAGGCTCTGGAACAGGTTGCCAGAGAGCTTGTGAGCATCCCGTCCCTAGAAGTGTTCGAGGCTGGGTGGGGCTTTGGACAACCTGGTCTAGTGGTGGATGTCAGAGGGTCTGGAACTAGATGAACTTTACAAGTCCTTTCCAACTGAAACTATACAGTGACTCTGTATGCAGATATCTGGATGTGGACCTGGGCTCCCTACTCAGGGTGCCCCTGCTGGAGCAAGGATTGGACGAGATGAACCAAGAAGAGGGCCCTGCCAACCTCAGCCAGGCTGTGATTCTGTGACCTGTACCTTCAGAGTACAGAGTTACTTTTCGTAATTAGCTCATCATGTCTTCTTACAACCCCCGTCTTCTCTCAGTATCATAATGCTGATGAGGAACCTGCTCCCTCCTGGATATCAGTCAAGAAGGGCCGAACATGGGAGAGAACCAAACAGAAGTCTTTCAAAAGAGAACTTCATACTATCATTTCTCATAGAACTTCCAAATATTATAGAAAAGAGAGAAGGGAGAAATCAGTTGTATGCATTCAGTATGGACAGAAGAGGGTCTTTGGTGTATCCAAGGGAAGACAAACCTGCTGAAGGTGGCTTTAGACTTCAATCAGGAGTTATCAAGGGCTGGATTTCAGAACATATTCCATAGCTCAGGGTTTTGAAAACTCTCTGCATAGAGAAACAAGTTATTAAAAATAAGTTACAAAGTAAATTAAACACTATATGTTTTGCATTATGGCACAGATTATAACAGGCAGTATCTTCCTATGATCGTATACTTTATGTGGAACTGTGTAGCCACTAAATTAGCAGTAGAAGCCAACTTACAAATATACTGTATCTAACTTGAATGTTTTATTATTTACCCTAGAAGTATGCCCAAGCTATTCCAGTAAAGAAATTGTTTGGGAATCAGAGGTTATATTTAGCAGTTGTTTTGCTGAAACACAGTTTCTTGATACTGTAACCAGTTATAATGGGTGTTCTAATTCTTTGTTTTTAACTTTTTTTTTTTTTTTTGGTAGGATTTCTGGCTTCTTGGAGAAACAGTAGAAAATGCAAAACGAAATAATAAAGCCTGCTAAATACTTCTCGGAAGTGGAGAAGAGTGTGCTGCTTGCTCTAGTGGAGAAGTACAGATACGTACTTGAATGTAAAAAAAGTGATGCGAGGACTATTGCTCTGAAACAACGCACCTGGCAAGCATTAGCACATGAATATAATTCACAGCCCAGTGTATCTCTGCGAGACTTCAAACAGTTAAAGAAATGCTGGGAAAATATCAAGGCACGGACAAAAAAGATAATGGCACATGAAAGGCGGGAGAAGGTAAAAAGCATTAGTCCACTTATAAATACTCACATCATAGGGAAGGAGAAGATTGCCAGCATAATGCCTGAGCAAATATACTTTTTGCAGAGCCCACCAGAAGAAGATTCTGAATATCAGCCTGATGCTTCTAGTCAAGGTATGCATGTTATTGTGATGGTGCATGTCATTTTCTTTTGTCTGTGGTTTTGCTGCTGAGTCTCATTCAGAAGTCTAAATCTATCCATTTAACTGTGACTGCTGCTTCCAGAAAAGTAATTTCAGAGCTGTGATATTACAAGACTCTGTGTATTTCCTTAGCCTCCCCCTTAAAAGAGGTTTTCTTTTTCTTGTATTTTAAGCCAGTTATTGACAGACCTTAAGCTTTGTAACAAGCATCTGATATTTTTATCCTTTAATAAAGTATCATTCTGTTGGGAAAAGATCCAAATAGTAAAAAATAAATACATAAATAAAAATCTAACAGCAGCAAATTGATAGACAACTATCTGCTGCAAGAGTTCTATGCAGGCCTTCCCTCATTTGTTTTCAAGAAAGACTAATTAGTGTTTATAGGGTTATATGTGATGCTGCAGTGCGCATTGAAGAATGGCACTTCTGTAAAGGTTGGATACTATATTCTTTGTTTGGCAAGCATATAGAGAAGGAATAATAGAAGACTAAAAGGGAGAGCACCTACAATGCTTTGTTGTAGGCTTTACTTTGTCAGGAACATAGGAACATATACAGAAGACTGTTCTTGCTAAAAAGACATCAGTAATTTCATTGTATTTACCATAAGTGGTAATTTGGATTTGTGAAGGAATGCATTTTGAGAGCCATATTTGCAGTGGTTACTGTTTTATTCCATAAATAGTTTATTTTCTTTCAATGGAATAGATAGAACCTTCTCAAAGTGAGAACTACGTAATTTTTTTTCTTAAAAATTATACAACACTGTTTATTGGCATGCACAGTGATAAAGAAGGAGCAAGTAGCAGACTTGCTAATATTTCCTCAGTCTGTTGGTGTTGATACAGATGCAGCTCTTTACCTGCCATTCTTTCATAGATTATTGCTGGTCACATAGATATTTGGTTTAAAAATCTGCGTTAAGGTTCTGCTCCAGGCTGAGGCACCTAAATTTAGATGCCCACTTACAGATGCCTATATTTGCTTTAGTGTTCTGAGCTCCTGTTACAGCCACAGAGGACTACTGACAGTGCCCAAAGTGGTTCAGTTCAAATCATTATTCCCTCGGTGTTCTGTAACAGAACAGTATTATATAGTGGCTCCTGTATTCTGTGTACACAAGTGTAGGTTTAGATATATGCATCTCTGTAACTTTATTGTCACAAGTCTATGTCTCTCAAGGGAAAAGAGGTGGATACTATAATACTTTTTTTTTCTTCTGTTTTGCAGAGTCGTTTGTTGTCTCAAATAGAGAACTTTGTGATGAAGAGAAAGAGCTGATACATTTCCCAGTGTGTGAAGGTACCTCCCAGCCTGAGCCTTCGTGTTCTGATGTCAGAATAGCAGCAGATAAGAACTACAGAAGCAAAGCATCTCAGGAAAGTGCTCTGAAAAAGATGCATGAGGAAGAACATCATCAGCAAATGTCAATTTTGCAACTGCAGTTAATCCAAATGAATGAAGTTCACGTGGCAAAAATACAACAAATAGAAAGAGAGTGTGAGATGGCTGAAGAGGAACACAGGATAAAAATGGAAGTGCTAAATAAAAAGAAAATGTATTGGGAGAGAAAATTGCAGACCATCACAAAAGAGTGGCCTGTATCATCCTTTAACAGACCCTTTCCTAATTCACCGTAGAACAGAAAGTGGCAGAATTAATCTGACTGAGCACATTTATAAGTAATGCACACTGGAAAGATGGTTTTTTAATGTGAATGTACAGTGACAGAATAGGTGCCCAGCTGATAGTGAACACACTTTGATTCTTAACATTTATGGCAACAGTGGTAGAGCCTACCAAGGGAAAACAGTTTGATTGTGGGTAATTCTGACCTGTGTAACTTCCCCTCGCAGAATACCCTGGCATCCTTTTGAAATTCAAGGTATTCTGGGCAGTCATACATTGAGTACATTGAGTATTCTTTAAAAAAAAAAAAAAAAAAAAAAAAAAAAAAAAAGGTTTTGAACATCTGGTTACAGTATTTATTTTGATTTCTGTCTCTTCATGTTTGTCTTTTCCTGAATGAAGGCAGGGGTTAGAATTGCTCTCTCCTATTGAGAGAAAAGGTGATTAACAGTGATGCTCAGATTGTTACACTGGGGCACAGAAAAACAAAACAGAACTTGTCCTTGGTTAATATACAGTCCCTAAACCATTCTTTGTAGAGGATGTGAAAATGAAGGAAGTAGCAAAAGGAGCACTGTGGTAATTGAGTGCTTTGCTTGTGAAGAACAACAGTGATGTTTTCTAGCTGGCTGGCTGGCTGAGAGAGTGGTTTGTGGAGTGGCCCTCGTGTTCCCTTATGAAGTTGTGAAGAAGGTGACTTCTTCCCAAAAGCCACTTGTCCTCTCCTTTCCAGGACTATCTTGTATTCAAGTAGAATGCTGAAATAGGAGGGATGCTTGCTGCTGCCAATGCTGTGTGCTGCTCCCTTGGAGTCATTGTGAGGGGAAGGGCTACTTAATTATTCATACAGCTCTCAAAATGTGGCAAGTCACCTAACCCACTGGCAAAATCTGCCTTTGTTTCCCCATGAGATACTTGATGGTTTAGCAGCTAACTAGCTACAAAAGAGGCTAAGTAAGCCTTGTTATCTTTTCCAAAGTTTTGGGTGAGAAGCAGTGCAAGGGGGGTCATTCCTGTCTTGGAGCTCTGTTTTATTCTGTTGTATGTGTTAAGGTGATGTATTTCTTGCCTTCGCTGTCACTGAGGGGTGATGGACCTAATTTGTATAAAAACATTCCCATGAAAGCCCTCACAGACGGGGGCCAAGAATAGTAGATGGTAGGAAAGCACAAATAAAGATAATCCTTCCTCCAGCAATTGATTGTTCTGGTGGTGCAAGGATTAAGAGATGTGAAACACAGAACTCCACAAAGATTCATTCGTAAGAATTTCTGATGTGTGAAAAACTGTTTTGTAGGAAGGTGTACAAAAATCATTTGAAGTGGTGAGAAAAAATGAACAAAGGCATAAATTTTCAGTGAAAATCCCAAGTATTTCATTGTTCTAAAGTATTTTCAGGTCACAGTGAATAAAGGCACATCCAGACAAATTAACTTATTCAAGTTGAGGTTTGGTACAAAACATCCTTTCATTCCCAGCTGCACTCCTGTTTCTTTCCTGGATGTTCTTTTGGTGCAATTTGTTTTGGTATTGGTTTTGGATTTTTTAGTGGGTGGTTTTCTTTTCCTCTTTTGAACTGCTTTCCCTGCTGGTGATTCATCTTTGCAAGCACTGCCATTATCAACCACAATGCTCACAGTGGTTAACACTGTGGTACATGCATTGCTCCCTTCAACGTGCAAAGCAAGCACAATGGGAATGATTTATTGCAACTTATTTTATTTGACAGAGGGGAGTAAAAAAATAAAGGCAGTTTTTGTGGAGCTGCTGCAGTATTTTAAAGGGGAAAAAAAAAAAAAAAAAAAAAAAAAAGGAAAATGGATGAAATCTGAAGGCATATTTTTTTTTTTTGTCAGGAAAATCAGTTTTCTTATGAATTGGCTGTGTGGAAGAAGCACAGGACTTCCAAAAGAGGAGATAATTATGGACACTTTTTATTCTGCTGAATGGAAACATTACTGTGAGGTAGGACAATGATGTAGAACGATAGTGGAGGCAAAGAAAAGTGAACGGTAGTGAGAACCTTCGTATCCTGAGGTTGTAATATGTAACCTGGAAGGTGAATCAGTTACTTGAGTGGTTATGGCAATTGATTAGGCACTATCCAGAAAAGGCATATGACATTTCTGATTCCTTCTACACTCCTCCTAAGTGAAAGTTGTTTGAAACTCTGGCATTGAAACCATGTGCACTAAGGTGTCAAAAGATGACAGATGGAGACAATTCCTGTACTGTGAAAAGAGCAGAAATGGAGAGACAATTCAGACCTAGACAGCATGAGGTAATCCAGAAAGTATCTCGTGGTACTTGAGATAAAGGTAGTCCTGACTCCTAACAGTTATAACGTTCCTCACAAAAGATTATTTTATTTTTGTATTAAAGTCATTCGAAGTATGCATGTTTTCAGACTGTACTAAGTGGGAAATGCTGGTGTGTATACTTGTTCTGAACCCCAAAGTTACAGAGTTACAGTCCTTACACTGAAAGGTATAACCTTCATTTCCAAAGCTGTATCACTGGAACAAGGGATCTTGCTGCTTAACACAAACCCTCTCTGTGATGCTCCTTCCTACACAGCAGGGATGCCTTTAGCCGGGGCGACGCACCCAGCTCTCTGGTACATTTGCAGGGGTTCACACAAGGGCAGGCATCACTCAGCACTCAGTCTGCAGGACCCAGCTGTCTCATTGCAGCCCTGCAAAATGCTAGGTTTGGGGCTGCGTTTTCCTGAGTTATACCACATCTAGTGCAGCTGAGGAGATAGTCCTGAATTTTGTTGAAAGATGAGTTATCTTTGAACTAAACTAGAACTAAATGTTCGCAGTCTCTCAAGATATTTTTAACCGATTGTAGCTACAGTGGCTTTTATAATGTGTCCTCTTCCTTCTTCCACTCTCACGCTTTAACGTTTCCTGTGTATTCTGTCTGAATTTGTGCTCAGAGCATCATACCTACATGATAATGCTGAAATCATTAACTCCCACACATTAAATATTGTTACTTTGGAGGTGGGTGAATTACATGGGAATCTTAATATTTTTCTTTAGGCAAGTGAGGTCCATGACAAGTAGTCCTGTGATTTTGTGTTTTGAGCCTGTTTGTTCAAAGTTGTTTTTATGATGCACTGATTCACCTAAGGCTTCATTTTCATAATTGGCTTTCACTTTTCACTTTTCACTTGAATTTTCATCTTCTTAATGTTAAATGTAAAACTCGCACATTGTTGCTCTTCCTGAACTTTGTCTCTAGTTAGATATTCAGAAATGTTTCTGTGCAAATCAGTACTATGTGTACTAAAATTAATACACTAATAAAATAAGCCAAGTAACAAGATGATAGGACAATGTGCAGCAACTGTTAATATTTAAAAATCATTACGAAGGGCAACTCTACATTTAATGGAAAGAAAGAATACCATTTGTTGCCATCTATAAGCATAGCAATAGTCTTTAAACAATGAAAGTAAGCTTTGATCTCTGTATCTGGTATCAGAGAATAACTTTTGAGCTGCTGATTTAAAGGGGACTTTGCTTCATAGGGTTTGTTTTTTTGTTTTGTCACAGAATTACACACACAGAAAAATGCTGATTGCCTTAAATGCATATAGAAACGTGGACAGATTTCTGGGTAATGAAAGAAAAAACTCCTAGCTGTGGCCCTGAGAATTTTGCTGCTCTGGTGGTGAAGGGATTAGGCATCCCACAACATCATTAGTCATGTTAATAAGACTGAGCAAATTAAAAACTCTCAAAGCCAAAAATAAAATGCTGGTACAGTTACAGAGCGAGCCACAAGTGAGGACAGCTCCTGGCTGTCCTTAGAGAGAGCTCTGTCACGTCAAAGAATTCTGCCACACAGTCTTCACTTTTCCTGTTAAAACAGCCACAGGAAAAAGAAAAAAAAAAGTCAGTAAAATAGAATTTAGCAAATATCTGTTGCTTCTCCAGAAGAGCTGGCAAGACAAAAAAATGCTACACTATATAAATACTTATATTTAGGGAAAGAACTCTAATGTAATAGAAATAGAGCACGATAGATTTTTAGACAGTCCTTAATTAAATAATGTGTTTTTTAAAAAAATGTTGCTTGAGAGTGTGTGGGTTTTTTTTGTTTTTTGGTTCTTTTTGTTATTCAGTCCAACTGCAGAATAGTTGTGTGCTTCAGTTTCTGACTGAGTGTTGGGGCACCTAATTAATCAAACTTGTTTGGCAACAGAGAAGTAGGTTTGCATTCAACACAACTTGAGATGGATTATATTCCAGCAGCGTTCAGATATTTTTTCTCGGATGTAAGGGGCTGTTCTTGGACAGTCCTCAATCAGGAATTGGCATTGGATCCAATTTAGTTGTAACTCACTATTCATACAGTGCTAATGAGGTGACATATAAGCTCTTCATGCTCTGCATATAATTTGGTCACGCACAAAACCCATATCTTTCCATACAGTACACCATGAGATGTTGTACTGAGCAACAAACAGACCTGATGTTTCTTCTATATAAAGGCCTGCTACGCGTTCTGTGCCACAGTGTAACATGCAGGCAAAATTTGACTTCTGTTTGGTTTTGGACTTTGAAAATCTTGACCTGTTATCCTCACTGAATTTTGTTTGAAATTCCTTTCTCCTATTAGGCGCCAGAACTGAAACTCTTGGCTTTATAGCTTCTAAATACCAAACCTATGGACTGAATTGACACACACGTGATAAATTCCATTTATTTGAAAAAAGACCTTGTACATACTGTCACATACTGAAACTCCAAATGCAAACTAGGGAGGTGATGTGATGGATTTGGTATTTAAGCCAGCACTGAAATTTTGGCAGGCTGGGAGTTATCACTGCTGACCTAATACAGAGGTTTGGCCTCTTGACTGCAAGAACAATGATGTCCAATCCAAATGTTGCCTTACCTCAAACTTTCTATCTAAAATGAGGTGTAATAAGAAATTCTTGCCAAATAAAGCAACAGTAGTTTCCAAAATGCATTTGTTTTGATTTGGTTTGATTTCAAGTACTGCCTTGCCCAAGGGCTCTAAGGCTGGGCCTTATGGTGCACACTCTTGTTGGCTGATAGCATTTTGAGAATGCTTCCCACGCTGATTTTGTTCCAATTCTCTTGACTGTAATGCTCTCATCTGGCTGTATGCAGTACGATGTGGTGATGCTGATGGGACCAGGGGTTCTCAAGTTGCCTGGCACCGAGTGCCTGCCTCTTTTACAATTACCAAATGGACTACGGTGGATGAATTTGTATGCAAACGAGGGGTCAGCAGGAACAGCCATTTTTGCTAACCGGACTGCGGAGGTGCCTCATTGCACCAAGAGGGCAGCAAGTTGAAGTATGATTGGTAAATTACCGTAGCGGTACTTGTATTTCTGTCTCAGCCAATTGCAACAAATCCTTCTGGGTTAAATCTTGCTTTTACTCCTCTCATAGACTGATCAATTAGTTGTTTGTTTCCATTGTACATTTACACAGTCTCTCTGAAGCCAACAGATTTCTGTAGGTTGCTGTGGGTTTGATAGAGAAGTCTACATCTCAACTTTCATTCTGGTCCAAAAGTCACAGCTCTTGTGTAAATCTGGCACAAACTCATTGCCAGGGAGCAGGGCTGGAGAAGTCAGATGTGGGAAAAAAGTGGCCGAGGTCTGCACCCTTCTCCTACACAACTTGGGGTTAAGTGGCCAAAGCTCAATGGTACAGCAAACTTGATCTGCAAACTCTCACAATGTAAAAAGTATGGGTGTAGTAACTGCAGGGGGTTATTTTGGTGATCTGTAAAAATGGTAAAATTTAAATTTAAAAAATACAGATTGTACATTGACATCTTCCAAATCATGGGACAGACTGAAATTATACCTTGTCAAATGTTCAACTACCAAGAGCAATAAATTACCACAGCTTCAGTCTGATGGGTTCAGTTTTCTGTTAGGAATTGGTTAACCAGTACAGGAAACACACCATATAGACACGCTCACCCATTCTGTGTAAAATCTTTGCTACTTCCATCATTACTTCAAGTTCCTTAAAAAAACTAAACATAGCTGTTGTTAATGAATCCCCACATGGATGTATATAAGTTAAACAAAATGAAAAATAGGTTTAATATTTTTCTACATATTTCATGTTTTCCTCTATTCGTGGTCTTTTGTGTTTATTTTTACTTCCCTCTTTTTTTTTTTTTTTCTTTTTTTT